TAAATGGTTTCTTTTCTCCTAAAGAAGAAACCCTTTAGTTGTCTTATAAAAAAGAGAAAAGGAAGAAATTAGAATTAATCTTTAAACAATTATGACAATAATTATTTAATCTTAGATCCAAAAAGTTTCATTTTATCACCTACTTAGTTCATCCCAGGAAGGCTTCAAAGAAGGGACATTTACAGCCTCCTATAAACACCTTCCCGGCATTCACCAAGTCCCACAAGGAGACCTTGCATCTCACCACACACGCACGTGTGGTTAAGTCAAGGTGATGCTATCCTGACGGGAAATGAGGAGCCATGAAAAAGAGTTCTTTATATATTTGCAGATTTAAATCCATTTTAACTGTATGTGCTCCAGCTAAAATATTTCCCCAAAATTTTAAGGACTTCTTACTTCCTAATACAGTACTTTCATTGTTTCAATTATTCTTCTGGGAAACTTCTCTAAAAGTTCTCTAAATCTTCCTTTTGTTTCTGAAGACAAGAACTAGACAAAAATTCTGATGTGCACCTGACCACTAAGTACGAAGGGAGAAAAAAAAAAGAATTAACTAGAGAATGCATAGGCAATGGAATGATTTCCTTTAAGTAGGTTCTCTGGATAATGAAGTGTTTCAGGTCTACTGAAATCCTCATAAAAATAATCTCCTTCCCACCAAGATAAGTAAGGTAACCAACCAGTTCATTCTTTCAAGATTAGGACTGTTGCAGTACCTTGGAATCATTCTAAAAATCAATTCTCACTGCAAAGCATAAAAGTGTGGAAGCTGTTTCATATCCTGGATGTGTTTTAAAATTTCAATTCAATTACTAATAATTTTTTTTTTCATTTATTTGCTCACACCCAAAAATTGAGAATCCAGATACATACCCTCAAAAATAAATCCAATTAGATAATCCTGATTTTTCAATAATGAAAATGAAACTATTCCTTTATATTTACTACACGTTAAACATTTATTTATAGATCTAGAAATTTAATTTCCTTTTAAAAACATGAGGAAAAATTGCTTTCTAATGCTTACAACTAAATTATTAAAATACTACATATTATATCAAAAATTGTAGGATACAGCAAAATCATCACTTTAAGGGAAAATTATAGCTTAAAATGTCAATTATAGCTTAGAATAGGAACAGACGATTAATTCATAAGAGGACAGAAATAGACATAGGAACAGAAATTAAATAGTAAAAGCAAAATAGAATCAAAGCCAAAAGTTGGTTCTTTGAAAAAGACTGACAAATCTGGTAAGATTAGGTAAGCAAAACTAAGTTTAAAATAATCAGTAATTAAAATATGAAAAAGCCATTATTCAAAAGAAAAAATTAAAAGGATGACAATTATAAGAGAAAATTACTAGATTTACAAGTGGATTACTATTTGTAATCTGTGATTAAATATTTAGGGAAGTTTCAAGCTTCCATGAGCAAATGTCCTTCACTTTTATGAAAAATTCAACAACTAGATCTTTGACATTATCTATAAGTGAAAAATAAAAGCCTACATAGAAGTACTGACTTGCCATAGAAAAAAATAGCTGGTTGATGATAGAGATGGACTAATATCAAATATTCTAATACCCAATCACTGTCCTTTTTTAATTGATAAACTATAACTGATTCCATGTATTTTATTTTTTTCCTTTATGAATTTGTTCTTGCTGAATTTATCCTGTTTCATATCCTTTCTTCATTGGTTAATGTTAAATGTGTTAGAATTCTAAGGTCCTGCCTTGAAGTATTTTGCAAACTTAAGCACCCAACATCATTCTTTTATAAAGGTGGTGTTTGAAAGTTTGGACGAATCATGCAAAAAATATCCAGTATCAAAACTCTCACCACCCAGAAGCACGCAAGGGAAGGAGATTTGGGTCTGTTCAGTTGATCATTTTATTCATTATTACATGTAACCAAAAATAACCTTTTTGTATTCAGTAGGATATGGGTATGTTTGGAGATACCAATATAATGCACCATTTCCATTTATATAATGAGGCCACTTTTCTGGAGGATATATTGGACAGATATTCTTCTGAAAAGAATATTATCTGAAGAAGCCTGAATTATAATTTAGTGGCTGAATATTTATTTATAAAAAACTGAATTAACCTAAGGTTCTATCTTACGTGTGAAATAGATAATGTATCAGATGAAAAAGTACAATTTTCATTAAATATCCACTATATCCTAAGCATTGGATATATTAAACTAATTAAATTAAAATACATTTAATTTAGCCACTGAATATGAATCTCAGAATCCAAATACAAACAGGATATTTAAAGCATGTAGCTTTCTATGGCAGAGCTGGGTTAGGATTCAGATCTTCTGGTTTACATTTCAGGGTGCTTTCTGACAAGCTGTAATAGTAAATTTTAATGCTACCTTTTACAGCAACGTAAGTTGTTTCTAGAAAGTAGAAATTCTTAAATGATTGAAATTCACTTACCTTGCTTCCTTTCACAGTTGACCGCACAACCTAAAATAAGCTGAAGCAGTCTCCCAAGCTCCACAGAATCTGAACATTCAGTTATTTGGTTTAAATCAGGGATAAGTGCTTCAGAAATCTGCTGCCCTAAAAACTGCGATATCAAAATAACAAGTTAGATCACTCATTTATGTAGGCTACAAAAAATCTGCTACATTTAATAACGTTGCAAGGAAAATATAATAGGTTCATGAAATTATTCAGATAAACAAATATCAATAATTATTGATTAAAACCAGTTAGCAATATTCAGGAAACTTCCCAAAATTTTGAGTAACCAACCAAAAGTAACTATATTTGCTTTTGATTTTATACCAAATATCCTTTGATTCCAATGTCAGAGATAGAGATCTGTTTAAGATGCATCTGGCCTAGTCTACTATGACAAAACTTACACCTTTCCATTAAATAATAAACAGGCTTATGTTAAGCCAAAGGATATTAATATTTTGATGTGAGATCAATTAACAGAAAACCACAATATAAACCACTGCACTTTTACAAATGAACAAATCTAATAGATTAATTTTTTTCTGGCCTTATCTTTTTTTAGCTTATTAAAAAGTTTATTGGCAATAAAAAACCTTCAAAATGAATTTTAGGCCATTTAATGAATTGAAAAATTTCACAAAGTATTAAAAATTTTTGAAAGAAATTAAAAGCTTAATTGTATGACAACTTTAAAAAATAGAAACAAAAATTCTTTAAGACAAAGTCAATTCAAAAACTTCCAATCATTAAGGATTAAACTTTCTCATACCAAAAGCCCTACTAGAGAACCTGTTATGATGCTGAGTAAGAAAAAACTACTTGAGTAATGTACAATCTAATGTGACTTTAATACTATTTCATTTTGCATTTTTTCCAATTCACTGGCATGAGCATAATCTCACAGTACGTCTTTGCTTCTGTTTACATTGGAAAAAAAATGTCAAAATAGTGCTTTAAATAGGAAATTACTTCAATTAATTATAAAGTCTACTTGTAGCATTGCATAAAATCAAATCATATTAAAGATGAAGGTAATTCTACTTGAGAAAATAATTTAAAGATATCAATATGCAAGCAATGTTATTTTACAAATCAATATATCTAAGTTTAAATCTGTTTATTTTCACAAAAATTGAGCTTTAAAAATGGCAATAAAACAATATGTTCCAATTATGAATTATATTCCAGTGAAATGTTATAAATAAAAAGCCAAGTCATTTTTCAGTGTCAATATAATTATCATATAGCATTTTGTATTTATTCAAAGTCAGATAGTTTTCATACCTCATGGTAATAACTCATAATCCCTTGAAGAATCTTCTTTAAATTATTAGCCTAATGTGAAAAAAAGAATATAATTCTTACTTCATATTAATGGAAAACATTTATGCCAAGATAAATGACAATGAAAACTTTCCACTAATAAAAATGACAACAAAAACATTAGAGTTCTATAAATAAAAACACATTAATTTTTAAACATTAGAGATTTAATCAGTTTTTAATTAGCTAGAGTGATTTTATCTAAAAGGAGCCAAAGTAAATTCAAATGCCCACTTTAAAGATTTATTTATGAGCATGTCCAACTCTAGCCATGAGTCAGTTAACAGGGTTTAATTCTCTCCTGCCACAAAAAATCAGAAAACAGGACAAAATACATGAAACAATTGTTTTTAAGCTTTAGACAACAGGCAGCATAGAACCCCGCTTTCTGAAACAAGGAAAACAAAAAAGATGAGCCCTAAACTAGTCTAAAATTCTGAGGCAATTTTCAGACTATAGCATAGGGAGGTGGGAAACAAACAAAGCCTGTTGTTCTGATTGAGCAGGGAAACATAAGAAGTTCAGGAAGGCCAAGGCAGTTAGAATTTGTAGGGCAGACAGATGAAGACATGGGAGCTATGGAGAAAAAGAGAGCCTGAAATCTGTGTAATGGTTCCTTTGACCCTTAGGCTAAATAACAATTTGCAAGTGTATAGGTGAAACTCCAGGTTATTTCCAAACTCAATGTTCTTTCCAAGGAGAAAACAATCCAGGAAACTGTAAACTGAATTCTCAAAAATTACTATACAGGCCCAGAAATTTCTGAAATTCCACTAGCCAGAGTGAAGAGACTACGCTATATGCATAAAGCATTCACCAAAGACCCCAAAAAGGTCAAGACTAGTAGTAGTGGGTCTAATTCACCCCTACAGTAAAGAGTAACTTTAGATCTACCCCTGCCAAGCCTAAAAACAAGTCTTGAAGGATCAAACTGAGTCACAAGCATCTTAACTGCTTGTAAGAACAAAGTCTAACACTCTTTAAAGAAATATCAAAAAAAAAAAAAACCAACACTCAATAACAAAATGCACAATGTCTAATATCCAATAAAAAATTGCTACATGTGTGAAGAAGCAAGAAAATATGGACTAAAATTAGGAGAAATCTCAGTCAATAGAAATGGGCTCAGAAATGAAAGATGAAAGAATTGGAAGACAATGTTAAAACTGCTAGTTTAAAAATGTTCAAGGATTTAAACAAAACAGGAACATAAGAAAAGAAATAGAAATTTTTTTTTAAAAAGAGAATCAAATAAAGAGATTGTCAAACTGGATTAAAAGCAAACCCAACTATTAGATGTCTACATGAAACACTTTCAATATAAAGACACACACAAAGAAAGGAGAAAGAAATACCAATGGAAAACACAATCATAACAAAACTGTAGTGGCTATAATAATATCAGACAAATTTGACTTCAAATCAAGGAATAACAACAGGGATAAGGAAAAGCATTTCGTAATGATAAATGGATTCATTCATCAAGAAGATATAAAAAGTATAATGTGCAATCAACCTAATAACAGAAATTCAAAATACATGAAGTAAAAATCAACAAAATTGAAAGGAGAAATCAACAAAACCACAATCATCATTAGAGATTTAAGGAATCCTCCCTCCATAACTGATATAATAATTAGGCAGAATATCAGTGAAGATATAAAATATATAAACAGCACTATCAACAAACTTGATATAATCCACATTTATAGAATGGCAGAATACATGTTGTTTTCAGGTACACATGGAACATTCACCAAGATAGACTAGTAAGTAAGTCATAAAGTAAGTCTCAGTAAATGTAAAAGAATTTCTCAATACAGAGTTTCAGACCAAAATAATTAATTAGGTTAGAAATCAATAAATAAAAGTATCTGGAAAATCTTTAAATATTTTGAATCTGAATTACCTACTTTGGATTCACCCACAGGTCAAAGGAGAAACCACAGGAAAATTACCAAACATTTTGAAATGAATGAAAATTAAGAGCACAGTATGTCAAAATGTGTGAGATGTGGCTAAGGCAGTGTTTAATATTAGAAGAAAAAAGGGCCTAAAATTGATTAAATTGCCATCTTAAAAAGCAAGAAAAAGAAAGGCAAATTAAGTGGAAGAAAGAAAATAATAAACATCAGAGAGAAAAATCAATGAAATAGAAAACCTAGGCTAGTCTTGGAAAAAACTAAATAAAATTGAAAAACATCTAGCCAGATTTATCAAGGAAAAAAATACAAAAGACACAAACAATAGCAGGAAAGGAAAAGGAAACAACACTAAAGATCATATAGTCACTAGCAAATTATTAGCATAATAACACAGTTAAGAACTGTATACACTGGCATGGTGGTTCATGCCTGTAATCCCAACACTTTGGGAGGCTAAGGCGGAAGGACAGCTTGAGCTCAGGAATTCAAGACCAGCCTGCGTAACATAGCAAGACCCCGTTGTCACTGTGCAGGATGACGCCACGGCACTCTAGCCTGGGCAACAAAGTGAGACACTGTCTCAAAAAAAAAAAAAAAAAGCAATAAAATTAAAAAATTTTTTTCATGAAGAAATTGTATGCCAACAAATGAGACAATATATATGAAACAAATGAATGTCCTACAAGACACAAGTAAACTGATTTAAAAAGAGAAAATCAGTAGTACGGTTTCTTATATGGTTAAACATATACTTACGCAGCTCAGCAATTCCACTCAGGAATTTACCCAAGAGAAATTACCTATGCGCTTATACAAAGACTGATACATAACTGTTCATCATTGTTGTATTCATAATAGCCAAAAACAGAAACAATTCAAACATCCACCAACAAGTGAACAGCTAAAAACGAATTGTGCTATATCAGTGTAATGAAATATTACTCTCCCAAAAAAGAAATGATTACTGATAAAAGCAACATGAATGAGTCTTAAAAGTACACTGAGTAAAAGAAGTAGACACAAAGAGTACATATTATATGGTTCCATTTATGTGGAATTCTAGAAATGAACTCCATAGTGACACAAAGCAGAACTATGGCCCCCTAGGGCCAGGCTTGGGGTGGGGATTAATAGAGAATGGGCATTAAGTGCATGTTTAGGTTAAAGGAAATATTCTATATCTAATTATATCTAATCTGACAGCATATATGTGTCAAAGCTCAAACTGTACACAATAAAATGTATTCATAAATTAATTTAAAAAAATATTTAGTTGAGGCTTAGTGCTAATTTTAAGACCACTGTTTGGATCAAGTGCTTCTCCCATTCATTCTGCATACCTTTATTCTCCAGTTATCCCCAACATCCTCTTTAATTCGGCTTAACCAAGATTCATTGAACCAAGCTGCATCGCTAAAACAAAAAAATAAATGGTAAACATTACATTACATAAACAAACAATACCAAACTGAACCAACAGAGAAAGTCACTTTGTACCTTAAAGCCTATCCTTAATAAGAATAGTAAATATGATTTACATAGTAATATTATAATTTCTTATATTAAATTATTTAAGTCAATAACACCTTCAATTTAACAAACATTTACTAAATATTTAATACTAGGTGCCCTGCTAGCAGGAAGATGTAAAAGTCCCAACCTTGAAAAGGTAAAAAAGACAAGCAACATTTTCATTAGTATCTACTACGTATCAAGCACTGTGCTTGATGTTTTTCCATGTTACTTCATTCAAAGATCATAGTAACTTGGCAAAGGATCTATTATTACTCCCAATCTTACTACTCATGGAATTGAGGATGACAGCATCTAAGTAATTTGCCCTGAGTGATACAAGGACATGACAAAGCCCAGAATAAATCTATTTGATTGAGTAGAATTAAGTAGAATGAATTTAAATGAGAAACCTACAAAGATAAGCTTAGTTTGAATTAGAAGTCCTATATTGATATTGAAAGCAAAGACCAAGAATTTCTATACCAAGTTTTTGTGTATTTAATAAAGTTTTGAAGAACATTTGACTATATATAGTGAACTATACTAACAGACTATATTCCAAACAAATATTTGGATGCTTGCTCTGAGTAAGGAATTAAACAAGATTAATATGAAGATGAATAATTTACCATTTTGAGTCTTAGAGAAATAGCTATTAAAGGAGGAAAGTAAAGAACACAAATAACTACACTCCAAGGAGGAAGTGATAACTGCTCTAAGAGTGAAACAACTACGAAACCACAGAATATTAGTGCTAGAAGAGGTCTTAAAGGTCTCATCTAAATTTTAACTTTACAGATAAGCCAACTAAAGTGGGGGAAAACATTAAAGAAATTTTTTTCCAAGGTTGTATCTTGAATTTTAAAATGCAAAACTGAAACTTGAACACAGTGCCTAGCTTTTCAGAAATCATTCTGCCTCAGGTGTTCTAATACAGAAGCTATCACTTCTGGCTAGGGTAAGCAAAAAACGGCTTCATTTTTAATTCATTTATTTGAAATTCGTAACCATTTCGTTTTTATTTATAATTGACACATAATTTTATATAACCATTTTGTTTTGAGCAAATTAATATTAATTGTGCTCAACTTCTCCTAGATGTTAAGGCTACAATTATCAAAATAATTTATCTAAATGTGTAAATGATATACTGCTAACGAAGTAGTTATCTAAAATGACTGAATTTAGTTAATGAGCCTAGCTGTCAAAATAAATTTATTTTTTTTTACAACAGATTAATAAAAAGTCCTAAACAAAAGAAGTATATGCCAGCTGTGATGGTTAATTTTATGTGTCAACTTGGCTAGGCCACAGTGCCCAGATATTTGGTCAAAAACATCTGGACGTTGCTATGAAGATATTTTTTAGATGAAATTAACACTGAAATCAGTAGACTTTGAATAAAGCAGATTAACCTCAATAATGCAGGTGGGCCTCATCCAATCAGTTGAAGGCCTTAAGACTAACCCCCCACCCCACCCCAAAGCAAATTCTGCCAGCAGATGGCCTTCTGACTCTGCCTGCTCTTCTGCTGGGTCCCTGGCCTGCTGGCCTACCTGCAGATTTTGGACTTGCCACAGTCCACGATCACATAAGCCAATTCCTTAAAATAAATATCTCTACACAACTTATGTGTTTGTATACACATATACACATAGGGTATATGTTTATATACCCTATTGGTTCTGTTTTTCTGGAGAACCTTGACTACTATACCAGTCTTTTAACTGACCCTAAATATCTAAGTTTATTATTCTATGCTATAAATATCTTTAGAAATTGGATCTACAGATAACCTATTTTTGCTATCTAGTTTTTCCAAGATAATTTCTCCTTGTCTTCCCTTCCATCCCATCTCAACTTTAGCCCTGAGAAATACTTTCTACCTTCTCCATAAAAATTATATCTCCCATTTGCTTTCTTATAAACAAATTCACCCTTCTCAAACAGTTATAATGGCAGCCAGTCTTTGTCACTATTAAACTTGATATCCGACCTCAGAAATCTCTGGACATATCTTTTTTTTTCTTTTTTACGGCCTCATCTACATGTCTTAATTTGACTCTTAGCCCCCAACAATGAGCTCTTTTTCTCATATTTCCCAGAATGTCAATGACTCTCAAGGGACAACAAATATGAAAGAGGACATGTGTCTAATGAAGCAAAATATGGTCCAAGTATTTTCTAATAAACCTAAGTGATAATCATTACATGACTTTGTTTTAACTCCATCCAGGCATTTGCCTTCAACAATTTTACCAACTAAATTCAGGTAATAATGAATACAAACCTGTTACTATAAACAACACAGTTGTGTCGCTTCCATGGACACCCTGAGACTATTCTTGAATAATCAAAAAATCTTTTGTGCTTAACACATGAAACTGTTATTTGTACTTGGGACATACACAGCTAGACTTTCATTTTATTAGTACCCCAAAGTAAAAATGTATCAGGAGGGGTTCAAGATACTAGATTTCAAAGATTATAGATGATAAAGGCAGTGGCTTTGGAGTCAGACCAAACTAATGCAAATCCTAGCTTTGCTATTTGCTCATTATTTGACCTTCCAAAAGCAATGTCAACTCTCTATGTCTCTGGCCTCATGTATTAATTGATGGCAAAAGTAATATCTACCTCACAGAGCAGTAAAAATTGAATAACATATTTAATGGGGTCTACAATATATTTCATAAATACTCAGATGCTGGATATCATGGTTTATCATTTTAAATGATCAAATATCTGAATTAACAAATATTAATAAATGCATTATGCTTAAGGTCTCTGAATATTCTATGTTCTCTGTTTCATTCTACTCCTTCCTGCAAAAATGTCTAGTCAAAGACAACAGCGATAGAGAGATTATCTGGTGCTTAAAGTGACAAAGCTAAACCCTTCTTTTGAGGAAGTCGCACACACTATTTATAGGTTTTCTGGGTTGAACTGTGTCCTAAAAAAAGATGTTTAAGTCCTAACCCCTGTGAACATGACTTTATTTGGAAATAGGGTCTACAGGTATGAAATCAAGGTTAAGATGAGGTCATACTGAATTGGGTTGGGCCTTTATTCAGGTTTTAAAAATGACTTAATTGATAGGAGCCAAGCATTCTGAACATGGTTCTGAATATGGTGTTCTTAGAAGACACACAGACACAGAGGGAAGACGGCCATGAATACAGAGACGGAGATTGGAGTTATGCTGCCATAAACCAAGGAATGCCTGGGGCCACCAGAAGCTGGAAGAGGCAAGGAATGATCCTCTCCTGGAAGGATGGGAGGGATCAAGGCCCAGCTAATACCCTGATTTAGACTTCTAGCCTCCAGAATTGTGAGAGAATTAATTTTTGTTGTTTTAAGCCCCTCGGTGTGTGGCACTTTGTTACAGTAGCCCTAAAAAACTAATACAGGTGTAGTTATGGGTTTTACCCATGTGTTTTTTAAATAACAGCAGCTTCTACATGCACTTGAAAAAGAGGCACATATTACATAACCAAACTAAAGGTAATAATTGCAGAACTGTAGAACCCTAGCAATAACTCCATGACTCCCCATGTCTAAGTTATATAGTTTGGATGCCACTGAAGATTTTATTATTTAAAAGCGTATCTGCCCCTAAGTAATTGAAGAATTATTGGTTAAATTTTGCCACTTCCTTATAAAGCAGAGTTTCCCTTCTCACCTTGAGTAACAACTTTGATGTGATTTGATGTTAGCCACAATAGCCATCAATGCAATACGCTATAAATTGTAAGATATGTAAAGTGCTCTGAAATGTTCAGAGAAATATGGTAAAATTTGCCCTTTTAACAGGAATATGATACACTGGTACAACTAGGGAAAAATGTATGCTGTAAGTCTCGGTATTCAGGATACGGACTTCTGAAAAGCTCCAAAATTGGAAAGAGATTATAAAAGAAAAATAAATTGAAAGTGGCCCTTGAATGATAACGAGGCACAGACACCTAAAAACATGTAAAAACGGGCAAATGGAAGCAAAAAACAAAGAGGAAAAAAGAGAGAGAGAGAGAGATTCAGCATGACCCAATTTTAGGTCACTGGTCATTCGTTTAATGAAGATGGAAAACTTTCTAATTGGCTATTTTATCTTTCCTGCAGAAAAGCTATTAGAAGACAATAAAAGACAAAAGTGAGAACAAAACAAGAAAAAGCAGAGACAGAGAGGATCAGCATTCACAGCATGATTCAACAGATTGTGGAAAAATTAGTTGTTGATAAAGGATACAGTTCAGCTAAAATTTACCTGATCCCACTATAAACATCAGGTACAGTGCTAGCATATATAAGTCAAAGAGCCATATGCACCACATCATGGTTTAAAAAAAAAAAAAAATGATCTCTTTTATTGTATTGTGGCATAAAGCTACTAAAGCCCACCAAAACATGTAGAAATGACATCTTTGGATGGGACTGCTGAAATGAGCAAATGCATACCGGCTTTACATTCATACCAACCATTTTGTAGCTGCATCTACACTAATACCCACAATATATCGCAATGAGAAGGCAAGGTGTACATTCTAAGGAGAAAAAATAATGACTTTCCTGACACGTTGAAAAAGAGCTATGTTCAGAATGCTTGGCTCTGATCAATTAAATCATTTTAAAATCAATCAGAATATAAATGAATAAAACATTTAAGAAATATTTTTTAAGAAAAAAAGAGAATAAGGCATATTTTAGAATGACTACCCCCTCTAAAAGTTAACATGTTAAGCTTGCCTTTTAAAGTGTTAATCATGAGTTAATCATAAAATCTGTCTATTCACATTAGATCATTTCGAAGATTCCAAATAACTATAATTTTTATATCATTTTAAATTGTTTTTCTAAGAAAGGCATAGGATTTTTGCTAACCCATCTACAGGATTTTCAATGTCAATCACAGCAAACCTTTACAAGATGATGGTAACAATTAAATAAACAATCCCTGACTATAAAACAATGAGGCAGGGATAGGATTCTTGTTTCGAAGTAAGCTGATGTAAAGTCACTATGGTTTAATAAATTATGAGTACAGAACTGGCTCTGTTTGTCCTACTGAGGGTACAGTTCATACTGTAAACTATAAGTTTAATTTTTGCACAATGTTTGGAAAATATTAGGAAATACTGAATTTGGGAACTTCTGATATTATATGATTACATAAAATGGGTCTAGACCAAACAGAATCACTTTATCAGTTAAGGTTCCCCAGCATCTGTGACTTTAAATTTCACTCAATCCTCATTTCATTATTGGCAAATTCAAAAATTAATATAATTAATTCAGAAGTACATTTTAAAATGTAACACTTTAAAATTTTTTCCAAGTCCAGTATTTTGTGCTTTAATAATCTCTAAAATAATCTCCATGCACTGATACTTTAAAATAACAATAGTATAACCAAAGAAAACATTATAAACAATTATATCATCCGACGTGTTTCTTTTACAGTAGTTACAATCTTGTGAACATGCCCAGAACAAGTTTAAAATGACATCTCTTGAATAAATAAGAATCCAGATCATTCGTTTAATTAAGATGCATCTCTGTGAACAAACGAGGAGTAATTTTTTTGTTCCCTAGTTACAAAAATGCCTGGGTACCATCTGCCTGAATATGCCATTGAATAAGATAAAGTTTCAATAATCTTTAGAATTCAAGTCTAAGTTTTCTTCCTTGCTATTGGGTTTACAATTCTTTTCAGGCAGAGTTTGAATACTACTCACATTTGATGAAGAACTTGTGCCATGGCAACTCCGTTAGTCAGCTGTTTCACATCTTGACAGGGCGAGGCAGTATTAAATGTCTGCAGCTAAAATGACATAAAGCAAATGACCTTACTGCTCCTTTACACCTACAGATACCTGTTTTGTTTAAAAGCAAACCCTGCCAAACACACGCAACTGTATTAATAAATTTCTATGGCTGTGTAATATTTTTATAAAAATAAACAGTTCGTATTTCATATAATCATGCCTAAGATAACATAAACACATAATACAAAGCCCAAGGTACAACTCTGGTCTTGCGTTCCCCCTATTTTTAGCAGATCATCAGAAAAATAACTTTAAGATAACCCAACATTCACATCTTAAAATTTCCCCCATAACATCTGATAGGAAAATAAAGCCTAGAAATGTTAAGTCTAAAACTACTTACTATTTATCCATGAGCTCTGAAATGAGATAGGACTTCTGCTTACTATCAAACAATTACCTTATATCATGAAGTGTAAGGCCTACCCACCATATAGCTTCAATAAAGAGCTGAGAGGAGAAAAAGGCACAAATTGTTTCTAGACAATGTGGTATGATGTATGGTAAGCATGACTGTAGTACACACAAAATGTTCTGGAAAAATTAGCAGTCAACTAATTTAATTAGGGTTTGTATTTAGGAAAGAGTTCTTGGAGATGATTCCTGAATAGATCTTGATGGATAAGCAGCATATTTTCTAAGTGAAGAAAGAGCCAGGGTAAGAAAGCTTCAGGAAATAGGAATATAAAACTACAGATATAAGAGATGGTATTTTTAGGGAACATGTTTAGTATCCCTGGATTTCAGTGCAAAGAAGGATGGGCAAGGAGTGCCAACCAAGAGTGTTAAAGAGACAGGTTGGGGTCTAAAGGGCCACAACAAGAAGCTTGCACATATTTTATCCTTAATGACATCATCTATATAACAGGAAATAATAGAACAGTTTCTACTGCACAAGACTGTTGGGAGAATTAAATGAAATAGCAAATGTATACTTAGATCAAGGGCTGGCACGTGCTATGAGCTCAAGAGCTGTTAGAACATTAGCAATGAGGTACGGTTTGTCAAAGTGTGGGGTCTAGGAACAATACATATCAGAATTTCTAGACATATCGAACAAGAAAATCCCGAAGTGATTCCTAGGCACATCAATTTTTGAGAACCATTGCTCTGGGTGAAGAAGAATCACTGAAGAGTAATAAGGAAGACAGTGACATCTTTAGTACATTTTGGAGAGCAGCATAGTAACACAAGGTAGCTTTATGCTTGAGTCAGGGAGACCAGTTAGAAAGTTCCTGCAATGGTCCTGTTGATAAAAATAGATAGCTGAGAAGTAATTAGCGTGATGTAGACTGAAAGGACAGGATAAATTCATGGAATATTTAAAATATAAAAAAAGAAAGATTTTGAAATTGGGTGGATGTACAGGGAAGAGAAACCCCAGGGTTTAGGGCATCTTCAAAGGGAAAACTGTGGTTTCTACTTTTCAGCCCTTCCTACTTACACATTTACTTTTAATGTGTAACTTAAAAGTTACATCATTAACTTTTTATAAAATGGATATGATTAGTGATTTTAAAAGGACAATTTCAGAGGCACAGAATATTAGACAAAATAGTAAAGAGATAAGTATAACGAGTACATATGCTAAGGAGTTGTCTCCTTGCCCACCGTGCTCAGATTGAGATCAATTTCTCCTTATAGCCATGGACACTGGAGTGCCTTTTGGAAGTTCTTAAAATAGATATACAATAAAAAAGAATGTAATTTTGTTTGGCTAAATTGAAAGGCTCATAATCAAGAATAATAAATTAAAAAGCTCAGTGGGTGGAGTGAGGCCAAAGCAGAGGGACAAAAGAAAATGTGTTCCTTCATACTTCAATTCACAAAGTCTTTTTAGTGAGTGACCCAAAAAGGACAGACAGCACTTCCACAGGTGTCCACCATTAAACACAGTTTCTGGCAAATAACGGTCTTACTTTCTTCTTCTATATTTTTAAATAAACCAAACAATCAGAAATATGGAAATGCTGTTCACTAAGTTGCTTCAATACAAACATCACAGAAATCAAGTAAGATGGGGTTTTCACAACAGATAACCAAAAAAACTCAATCTTGGATCTACTCTTCATATCTCCCCCTCTAGCTCCTCATTTCAGAAAGACAACCATTGTTTTGAGTTTTAAGATCTTCTAAAAAACAATTTGACATTTAATACTTTTCTTAATTTGGGTATATATGTGTTATTACTTTTTCCTTCGCTTGCTGTCAAGGTCAAAGAATGCAAGAACCAAGAGAACCACTAAAAACCATTTGGTGCAACCCTTTAATTTTTGAAAGTAAAGTCCAAAGATATTAAATAAATTTCCAGTGTCACAGAGCCAAGCAGAAGAATTAAATTTATCTTCATACAAATTTATCTTCAAACTCTCATACACTTCTTCCATCATGTAAGGGATGGCCACATTTATCATTTTGCCCTGAATTTTCTGCTAAGTAGCAGTACAACATTTCTAAGAACTAATTATTTTAAGAAGGTGAGTTCCAAATCATAAAATGCAGTATTTTTGTTCAATTTCAAAAAGAGGCATCCCTTCACCTAACCAACCTCTCTTGATGACTTCTTTAATTATGTCAGTGTTGGCTCCATTTTCCTCCTACTGCTAAAAGAACAGAGTTACTCCCATCTGTCTTCTTACCTCCATGATTTGGCCCCATCATAATTTTTTTTTAAAACCTTACATCTTGTACTACTTCCCCTCAACACATAACATTACATAGTATGGTAGGGTGCACATAAAAGAGCCAGGGGTATCATGACAAATGTCTATCTTCTACTACCTCCCTTCAATCTATAGCCAAAGGAGAGAGACCATTTACACTACTGCAAGTGGCTCTTCCTTGCATCTGGAAAACTCATTTCCCTGATTTCTACTTGCTGAAATCCATCAATCCTCTATGATCCAGTTAAAAATTCACCCCCAGGTATCTACAAAACCTACAGTTTTATCATACTTAATAGTGAAATACTAGTCTCTGAGGTCGGAACCAAAACAATGATATTTATTATCACCACTTTGATTCTTGTTGTATTGCAGATTCTAGTCAGTGTTCTTCCTTCCAGGGATAGAGCAGAAAACAGTTCAGGCAAGGGCTCTGATCCCAAGGAACAAACTGGATGACTTCAGAAAGCACTATGCATTATATATAAGACAGAAGTGGTTAACAAGTTACACTGGGATAGGGGGAGGTGGGGCGCAGGGACAAGTAGGACTTTAGAAAGGGCTGTCACAGAGAGTCCCTAAAAGGCAACATCAGACCCAAGACCTGAATGATGAGAAGCAGCAAGCCACTGGAAGAACCAGAAGGAAAATTTTCCAGGTAGAGGAAATAGAAGTTAAAATTTCCTTGGAGAAGTGTTACATAAGGTGAGCTTGAAGAAAGTTTGGGAGGTGAGGTAAGATCAATAACGTACTGGCCGGCTAAGGCAAAAAAAAAAAAAACAGTAAAGTTCCCTGGAAATCATCTAAAGAGGTAAAGAAAAGGCAACAGACAGGTGCCCAGAAGCCAAACAGAAGATAATTTCACAAAGGAAGCATCAAGTAAGTAAAGGATAATATAACACTTGTTGAATTTGGCAAACTGGTAATGAAGCGAAAGCCTTACAGAAAAGAAACTCAAGTGCAGTGAGTTAAAGAGTGAATGAGAGTTAAGGAAATATTAATAAAAATATGAGTATGAAAAAAACTCAAGAAATTTTTCTGTGAAGAAAAGGGGAAACAATGTGGTTTTAATGTGGAGTGGCGGCTCCTTGTTTTCTTTTTAAAAGGGGGAATATTTGAACAAGTTTATACGTAGAGAGAAAAGAGACAATGAAGAGAAAGAAGTTGTAAATACAGAAAGGGGATAAAAGACAGAGCAAAGTTGTAGAAGAGGTAGAAGGGACTGAGTCCAAAGCCAGAGCTAAAGATAAGACGGTGGTCATTTGTCCAAGGGGAAGAAGTGCTAGGGGCTCCAATAAGTACTCATAAAGTTTTGCTAAGAGAAACATGAAAGGCACTGTCTGATTACTCTTAAGCATAAAGCTTGGCAGTGTTTGGGGAAAGACGCATTTGACAGTAGCAGCATTAGTACCAGCAATAATTTGCACAGTCAGTTTTCTCCACAGTGCTCAGCAGCCCAAGAGAGAACTGGAGAAGCAAACAACCATTTTACTCTGTCATCTATGAGTCCACACCATTTGGTTTATAATATTTTTGCAGCTTTTAAAGAATTTTGCCTTCCACTATAATTATACACAACTCTGCCTACCACTCCACTGTCTTCTTCAGTGACAGCACTAAATCGAAAGTCAATAAATTCTAGGTAAAAGAATGGATACAGTCACACAGTATTTAAAATATTGCAATATAATTCAAGATAATCCTGTGCTTCTCCACCATCTCACATATAAGTCAATGACATCATAAAGACTAAGTTTACCACTTCAGATGATGTTTAAAACAACAGTGTAACAGATTAGGATACACCCCTTAATTAATCACTTGTTTTAACAAAACAAATCATTAAAAGTAAATGTTGCTTTGTTTAAAGCAATACGTTTTAAACAAAAATACAGCTGAACAGTTAGCTAATTGCTTTTAACTCAGAAACCCTAGATACTTGCATTCCACTTGAAGCAAAAGGCATTTACTTCCAAAGTGTAAAAAGTTGCTTTAAATTATGGATATTTTCAGTGGACTTCACATACTTCCATAAACCCTCCAGATTTCTCATTCTTTGGAATTAGACGCATTAGGAGATCTCTAGGGAATCTCATCAACCAATTACGCTTACTGATCCAGTCTGTTCACATTCCAATTCTGTACACACTCCCCTACACACAATTAAACAACTGGTTTGGGATAAGCATCAGCAACACCTGTGGACCATCAAGTGCCATCCTTGCCCAATAGGGGTTAGGAACCACACCTGAATGCCAGCTCTCTGATAGCTAAGCAACTCCAAAGGCGAGGTGTCATTTTGCTGACTGGAGTACTGAAGAATCTGGGGACAGACCTGCTTGTCCAAAACCCATCGCAAATTAACAGATATCCTAAACATGGATAAAGCGGAAACGAAAACGTCAAGTCCTTTGCTTTAAAGAGAATGCTGTCCGTTTGGGGGAGGGGCAGCGAGGAAAAAGGGAAAACGAGCCCCCACTCCCCACACATCTTTCTCTCCACACAGGAAATATGTGGAAACATCCCTTCGAAGCAGCTTCTACAAAGTCGGATGTCCTAGAGTCCTGAAGAAGCACTGATCCGGGAACGCAAACAGCCAGCCACCTCCTGGCCACCTGTGTCCAAGTAAAGCAAGGGGGTTGGGGTGGAGGATGAGGTTTTGGAGGGGGTCTTCACCCAAGGGGACGGAAGGCAAGAGAGGAGGTGATCCAGGAAGTCCAGGGCTTGGAGCGTAGTGCAAGGGGAAAAATTGGGGCAGAGGGGAGGAAAGGGGATGGGCACTTGGTTTTTGCCACAGCTGTTAGGGACACCATCCAGGTGGAATCCTCAGGCGAAGACCAGAGGCTCCACCGTCACGACCGCCCCCCCTCCCCACTCCAACACACACCTGCCCTACGACCCGCAGGTGGCACTCTCGCGGTCACGGGCGACATGAGGAGCGGAGGGCAGGGCGCGCTGGGACCACTGCGCAGGTGGCCCCGGTCCTCCTCGGGCTCACCTGGAGAGAACCGAGCACCCGGGGCTCCTCCCCTCGGCCCCCTCGCCCCCTCGCACTCACCCAGATCATGAGGCTGTCGCACAGCGACAGCTCAGGCTGTGGAAGCGGCTGCGTCTCCTCCATGGCCCAGGCAGCCGTCGACTACGTCGCGGACACCGACACCTCCCTCCTCCCGGCGCTCCTCGAGGAGCCGGCGTCGAGACCTGCTAGCCCGCGGGGAAAGCTCGGTAGCCAGGCCCAGCGCCGGCGCCGTTCACGCGCGAAACCTCGCGCAGCCGACGTCGCGGCGTAACCCCCTCCTCGTCCGCCCCCGCCTCGCTCCTGCGTTCGCCCCCTCCCCTGTCTGGGTCCGGCCGCGCAGCTCGGCACCTGAGCCCCGCCCCCTCCCCGCCCCTGCTCTCCTCTCCCCTCCCCGCCCTCCCTTCTGTCCCACTCCTACACACCTCGCCCCGCTGAGTGACCTGGGCGCGCACCAGTCACAAAGAAGCTAGGTACCCGAGGGGCGGGCAGGGCGGGGCCGGGGCGGGAAGAGAGGGAGGGGGTTGCGCAGAAGCGAAACTGATTGGACATGCCCTCGTGGGCTCTGACCAATCAATGTGAGACAAGCCGCTGCTCTGGGAGAGGGCGAGGGTGGGTGGGAAGAGGTTTATGACCTGGCAGGTGCAGTGAGGGCGAGGGTGGGAGGTTGCGCGCGGGGGAGGCGAGCGCGCGTGCGCGACGGGGATTGGCGAGGTTGAAGCTTCCTCCGGCCCCAAGGGGCAGAAAGGAGAGAAGAGGCGGCAGGGCCCCTGCGGGGCTCAGGCGTCTTCCCGCCTCCTTCTTCGCGGTACCCCGCGTCCTGGCTCCACCTGTGGAGACTCTCTTTCTGCTTCCACATTGTATTCTGAAATAGGTCGTACCCGTGAATTAAAACCACTCGAGGAAGGAAGAGCTGATTTTTCTCCTAGGCGCTCATTGGAAAAGGATGTTTTAATTTGCAGACGTGTGCCCTAAAGAAAGGAACATATCTTAATGCTGTTTAAATCGAAAAAGCTCTCACGAGATCACAGATCATGGGCGATTTTATTTTAAATGAGGCAAAAGGGGAAACCATTTCAGGTATCAAAATGAAAAATGACACCTTAGTTTTCGGAAAACATGGAAGATATCGATGTAACCATTTCCTTTGGCGGTATAAAGTCTGTTTTTTCTGAGGACGTTGGGAAGAGGGAGAGGCGTAAAATTGGAAGCCCTCCAAGGTACTAATAGATGGCTTAGGTTATTGAAAAGGGCTAGAATATTCTTAGTCTTCCTGTGACTTCTGTCATTCATAAACTCATCAATTCGTGCTCTGAGTAAAAACAGCTGGCTTTTTTTTTTATATTGCCGTGTTTTCATATTTAGACATTGAAAAGTTAAAACTGATGGAGGACTGCAATTAAAAGCCCCCAAATGTATATCAGTCTCCTTCTAAAAATACAGGACATGCGTTTGCTATTGGCTTCCTGAACATTATTACAGAACTTTCTTAACGCTTCTGAAGTCACTTTATATTCCAGGCACTAGGAACATTGGTAAAATGTCTTAGTGAAAACTACAAGATTTAGGAATTGAAGACCTGGTCTGAATCTTGACTTCATTACCCACTGTTCTCCCATGGACCCCAAACTCCACATTCCTAAAATCATTGTAATTAAAATGTAAACATACATTGTAAATGTAATGTAAATTGTAAATTTTAAACTTTGCGAATAAGAAGTACTATAATCATAAGTACTAAGAAGCATATGAGAACTTCTCAAAAAATTTATCACTGAGAGTCACAGGTGATTAAATTACTCAAAATATTTAATGAGAATAACTCAGGGAAATTGAGTTTGTTTCTGGGTTCTGTAGGGGGCAAATTCTCAGGGAAACATGCCCAATTTATTTAATAATACTAGAGCCAATGGAAAAATATGTGAAGGATATGGTCAGTGAATTCAGAAAAAAAGATATACAAATATTTTAAACAAATATAAAAAAGTTAGAAAAGCACAGAATGTGAATCATTAAAATAGAACAATTAAAAAGAAAATGTTGTGAAGACTGAAGTGTGCTTTTATGCATAACTGAAACAAGCATTTTAGAAAAAATATGACAATCTTTATCAGGAAACTTTAAAATATCCACATCATTTAAACTAATAATTCCACTTCTGGTCATAAATTATTCAAATCATCAAAAATGCAAAGACTTTGAACCCCCAATGATATTATTGATCAATTGTGTAATTGATGAATACATGTCCAATAAGCAAGAAAGGTAAAATACATTGTAGCAGATTTGTAAGATAGAATATTTAGCAACTAATAAAAATTATGTTTCAGAGAATATTTGATAACTCAGTTGTCACAATATATAGTATTAAATAAAAATTTAGATAAAAGTATCAGCCATATGACCTCAACATTGTAGATATTATTTATGTATTTTAATATGTACACAGCAAGAAGAAAAAGGAGTAATCATCAAACTACTGTTATGTTTCGATATGGATGACAAGTTATTATTTTCTGTTATCGTTTATATTTTTTAGTCTTTCTATAAGTAGTTTGTATTACTTTATAGTCAGAAAAAAAAGAGATTAGACGAAATGCCAAATACAACATGGGCTATCTTTCCAACTATTAAATTAGCATTAATTTTTTAGAAGTTGGCGTCTGTGTTTGGAGAGTTTAATGAAACTAACTTTTCAACAGTAGTTGGCGATTATAAATTGGTGCAATCTTTCTGAAAATTTTTTGACAATATATATCAAGAGCTTTTAAAATGTTCGAAGATTTTGAGATAATTATTTCACTTTCAGAATCTACTCTAAGAAAAGAATAAATGTATATAAAATGCTTAATACGAATACTAGCTTATAGTAGTTGCTGAATACATTTAGCTATTCTATGCACTGTTTGTGTGTCTTGGGGGGCGTGTATGTGTTTAAGTGTGTGTTTGCACTCCTAGAAGAAAAAATCTGAAAGAAAATGTTAGTAAAAGTTATTTACAGTAATTTTTACCTTCTTATTTTCTAATTTCACCAAAATGTCACCTTTTTAATTAAAACAAAACCAAACTTTTCTTTTTGTCAGAGAGAGAGAGAGATGGGATCAGGAAGAGATTTTAACTCTGAGTTGGTCTATAACTAAATAGATAAATAATAAGAGGAGAAAATCCCTAACTAGGCACCTTAAACAGAACTGTAGTAGGCTCTACTTATAAAGAGGATATCTGTGCCTTGCACATACAGGTGATGGAATAAAGAAATGGAGAAGAGTTCTAAGTCTGTCCCTGATGATTTCTAAATAACTCTGAATGGCTGAGAGTGGACACCAGTTAGAAGACTCTGGTCTGGACAGCAGGCATAGGCTTATACATATCAAGCAGCCATATAACGGAGAGACAGTAGCAGCAGCAAACAGTCTAAGTAGACCTCAGGAGCAAAGCATTCATTCCTGAAGCAAATTATTGGGGCCCCACACAGAGGATTCAGATAGCACTGCTTAGGTGCAGCTATTCCTTTCACAGACCCCCTAAACACGTGTTCTCCAAATGATGGTAAGAAGGAAGGACAAAGGGATAAAAGAAGGGAGGGAGAAAGGAAAGAACTGCAACATAGGCTCAATCTCAGCAACAGAGAAACAGGGGAAGTCAGAATAATATGAGATCTGCCATAGGGATTAACCTGGTTTTCTGGGTGACCTCCTCAAGTGAGACATGCAACCCACAATATCCAACCATAGCAAGCACATGCTACTTCCCGTCAGCATCCAGGTCCATAGGCAATTGAATGCAGCAGCAGACTTTTCTAGATTGTGACAATTTTCAGAATCTGGGAGATATCTTGGAATAATAGCGTCCAAGGCCCTGGGGAAGGAGATTTACAAGCCTTAGGCAGAGTCCTGTGGGAGAGAGATGGTAAAAAACTGATATTTTAAAACACCTTCTTGTTCTTAGGCCTGTGATCACAGTGGGCACGAGCACCCAAAGCTTACCCGAGCTCCATCGAATACTGTACTAAGTTTTAGGAAGCAAGACCAGTCCCAGACGTTATGCACGAGTGATATTTAGCCTCCTCTTAATGGGACAATCTTGAATTGACTTGAATACTCAGTGGGTCGGAACTTTTAGGTGATGAGGCCAGGAAGACAGGGACAAACTTTATCCCCACAGATGTTTTCAGTCTGAGTGATTATTGGGGTAGAAACTATTGAGCGTTCAGGGATGTAGATTCCTTCCCACTGTGTATGAAAAGGAATACTCATCTATTCTTCACACTGGCCAGGAACTGACTCTTCATATGAAATTACTGCTCATGTGTAGACTGTATGCGACACTGGGAATTTTGCTTCCAGGGCTTTTATAGACTTAAGTTGTAGAGATTTTATGTCATTTATTGAAACTGCCTTCAAATGCATTATAGTTTAATGCTTGTAAGCAATGTTAGCACCAACCTTTTGGGTTGCCTAAAAAGAGATTATTCTAAGATCTCAATGCAGAAATTCAAGTCAACTTCAAGTTCAAATTAAGGCTGAAGGCATCTCTGCCACTGGGGAATGAAATCTATGGGGCAAGGGATTTTAAAATTGTACCATAAGCAGGAAAAATGAATCTTAACTTTGAGGATCTTTGTTATAGCAGACTGTTGTAAATTGGATTTTCCAGGAAGTAGACCCTGAGATGGAAATTAGCATGCAGGAGGTTTATTAAGAAATGCTCTTGGGAATAACAGCTGTGGGAGGAAAGGAAAGGAAGCATAAGTGGGCAGAAGGAGAATACAGGCAGTGGTGCAGTCCTGATGAAAGTTTCAATTGATCCCTGGGGAGCTCTGAAGCTGGAATGGCCTTTCCAAATTGTTCCAAGTTTGGATGAAGGAAGCCTGGTTTTTACGTCTTTATATGGACAAATCATTACATGTGGGTTGCCCTAGACAGGTGGCGTGGCAGCCTCGGCAATTCACAAAGAAGGCTGATGGCTGTCTGCTGGGAGCATTCCCAGATGCTGGAAATATCCAGGCAGCACATCACAGTATCCTCTGCACAGCAGTGGCACCCACAGTCACTCTGGGTGGGCGTGAGGGTACTATGACTCAGAATGGGAAAGCATGGTGTTAGAAAAAAGTGTGGACAAGTGACCGTAAGTGTGGCAGTAAAGTGTCATGACCACAAAGTTAAAATAGAGAGGAAAAATGTTAGCATCCTTGGTTCATGGACTGAGAAGGCTCCAAAATGAGAAGGGATTGTAGCCATAGTTATAATTTCATGTACGGGCTTAGTGTCAAATAGCTAAATGAATGATATCTTTGAGGATTTAAGACAGAGATGTCTGGGAAAACAAAATTTATAAAAAA